GTCTAATATAATCACCAGTAACGTTTCTCTTTTCCAAGGTTGTGCCAGATTTGTTCTTGCTGCTGTCAGTCCAGAACATGTTTGTTGTTGTTGTTCCAGGCTTTAGCTTAAAAAAACAAAACAGGAACCTCAGAATGATTTCAGTGGGCAAGTAGGGCAAGACTGGTATGCATCATTCTTATTCTCTCTTCTGCCCTCAACAGTTCCCAGAGTGGCATAGCCAATAATCCTAGTAACTTCTCTTCCATATTTCTTCCTCCCCTCGGCCACCACCGCCAGTGTCCCAGCATGGCATATATCACACTGACGTGCTCCCTGACCTCCAAACCCTTCCCTCTCCTCATCTACCATCACTGATAGTCTTGGTTTTTGCCAATTCTTCCCTCACCCCATCCGGCCCCCAAAAAACACTTCTGCTCAGAGCAACAGTATTTTGTTCTGTATCTGGGAAAAGGCTCATTTTGTTCCATATCCAGAACAAACCTGCATGTTTCAATTTGGGCATGAACCATGTTAGATGCTTGGAATGGTTTGTGCATAAGCTGTTTTGCACATCCATAGCATTAATCAAGAGACTTATGCATAGGTGCCATGTAAAGGTAAACCAAAGCTTGTTATAGTATGCCCTAGCATATTATATAAATAGGGTCTCTGTAAATGATACAGAGATCAAACATGGTTAAAGCAAAAATAAAGCCAACTTACATAGCATAATTTAGGGAAAAAAAGTTTAACTATCAAAAGTGCCCACAGTGAGATAAGAGAGCATTTGATACAACATGTGTCAGAGTATGAACTGTCCTTTGTACTTGCATCATGATGTCTCACAGAAGTATGTAAGGGACAGAATTTGTGTTGTGACATCACAATGGCTATGTCATCATTTTCATGAAATAATTACTTGCCACAGATGCCCTGGATGCTAGAGAAAATGATAAGGGTGGTGAGGAGGACTACTTCACCCTTACTGTGTCCATGGAATTCCAGCCAGTTGTGTAGTAAGGGTAGAGAATGGGCCAGAGGGAGAAGTTGGGGCCAGAAGACCAGTCAATTGCAATGTGTGATTGTCTGACCAATCATTTTATAAATAAAATTGCTGATGTTCACTCCACATGGGGAGAGCAAATGCCTGGCACTGTTGTTTGAATTTTGAGCTTGTGGCTCTCAAGGCACAATATATTCTGTGATGTGAGTTCTGCTGCTTGTGAATTTGATCCCTGTCCCTTTTGGCTAGTAAAAGCAGCCAAGGAAAGAATTAGAGGCTGGATCCAGGCTGCATTTGACACCTCCTTGTAGAAGGGAAAGGTTCCAGCAACCTTAAACCTTGGTCCATCCCCTCCTAAAGAAGCCAGTCCTACATCCAACACAGTTGGAATTATAGTCCTATTTTCAACCTTCTTGGAGAAGGCTGTTGAGAATGTAGCTGGGTAGTAATAACAGAGACCTCTGAAAGAAGTGGAACATCTAGACTCTTGCCAGTCTAGATTCAGGCATTCAGGCAAAAATGAAAATAAAGCCTAAATGCATAAATGAGAATGCTGAAAAATGGTCAGACTGTAGGTGTAGATGATATAACTGGAGAAATATTAAAATATGGGTGTGGTTTGCTTACAGAGTAGCTGAGCAATTTGTTTAACGTGTGTGAAGACTACATCTTTGCCTGATGATTGATTATAAGAATGTTATTGCCTGCCTATACAAAGAAAGAGTAGCAAAGGTGAATGCAGATTAGATTGTTAAGTGTGTCTGGGAAGGTGCTCAGCAGAATTCTCATCGAAAAGGGTATACAAGGTGATAAAGAGCAAAACCTCAGAAGTGCAATATGGCTTTTTGCTCGGCAGGGGGCATGCAGACTAGATTCTGCTCTTCAACATGTTGCTGAGAAATGTGTGAATGTGGGAAAGTAAATTTACTGTGTGCTTACTGATTTAGAGAAAGCATATGATAAAATGAATAGGGTGGAATTATAATATGGGGTTTAAGTTGGTTACTGAATGTGATAGGAGTGCTATGCCGTGTATGAGAATAAAAGGAACATTTGATGAATGATTCGATATTGAGCATGAAGTAAGACAACCCTTGATTTATAAATTAATACAATTATAGGTAAATGTATAAGAAATTACTGTGATGACATCAGAGGTGTATTGATTGGGGATATAAATATGTACATACTTTTGTATGCAGAAAATGCCTTGTTGGTTGAGGATCTGAATTATTTGCAGTGAATATTAGATGGATTGCATAATGCAATGAGGAGCATGGATCTAAAAATCAATGCATCAAGCTTCAAGGTAATTGTATTTGACAGAGGAAATAAATAATTTAAATAAACAAATAAAATATGTAACGTGAACAATTGGAAGTTATTGGCAAAAAAGAAATTATTAAGTTGGGCATTTTGGTAGATTGTTTACTGAAGATGGGAACATGCATGGACACATTTTAAAATAATAATTTATTCAACTTGTATGTGTAAATTTGGATAGAAAGGTAATGGATAGCATGTTGTCTTTTGCAAGGAATAAATCTCTGTCAAAAGAAACAAAAATGGCTATGTATAAGCATGCTTATACCCTCTTTGTCATATGAATTTGAGAGTTGGAGGTGTCAGAAGAATCATAACAGCATGCTGAATGTAGTGGGAATGGGATACTTCAGTATGTGTTTGATGAAACAAGAAGAGATAGGGTTAAGAATTAAAGGGTGCTGAGCTAATATAAACCCAGAAGTGAGCAACTTGTATGAAAGAAGTAAATTGAGGTTGTTTGGTCATATATATAGAATATACAGAGAATTAATGAAGATCAAATCACAAAATAATTACATTAAGAATGAAAGGGTTGAAAGAAGAGAGAAAACTGAGAAAGTCATGGTTGGATGGAGCTGATAATATCTTCAAAAAGAGAGAGAGAAATTTGAATAACAAATGCAGTTGTGTGAATTGATGCATGGAATTCTATGTGGTGGAAACAAGGATATTTTGCAAGAATAGAAAGATATGGAGTGGTATAGTTGGTGTAAAGAGATTTCCTTTTCTCTTATATCCCATCTTTAATTTCTTCTGTTTACTGCTTATTTTGAGTAATATTGCTTACCTTAAAAGAAAGTAACAGATTGTATGTGGCTCAACTAAAGCCAAGGTAAAAGAAATCTAATGCTGCTTCCTTGGAGACCATTAGTGCTCTATATGGACAAATTTTAAAATAATTTATTAAACTTGTACATACAAATTTGGATACAAAGGTAACGGGTAGCATGGGATCAACATTTCTTGCCCAATGATACTATAACAATGAACATTCAATCTTGGCTGTAGTTACATGCAGTCCTGCACCATAAAATGTATTGATTATTATTAATCTTATTATTAAACCACTGACTAGTGAGATGTCTCCTGGCTTCCAATAAAAGGATGAAGCCTAAAACCAAGAATGTTAAAAAATAAATTTAAATGGTCAGTTCTTAAAACTCTGCCTGCCCAAGAGACTGTTTCAAAGCCATTTTAAAAAAACAGCAAAGCTAAGTTAGGCCTGTTATCAAAGAAGCGAATTCTGAAGAATGGAGGCAGCTATAGACCAGACACGGTCCCTACATTGCCATCAGACAACCCAGCAAAATCCTCAGGCAAAACACTTAGATGGCTTCAGTAAGCTGGGGAGGGGACAGTTATCCTGAAGAAGATATTTCAAGTAACTGGACCAAGTGGGTTCGGACTTTATTACCTTTAAAGCCCTAAACAACTTGGGCCTGGTTACTTGAAAGAAACAACTCATCTGGAAACAGCTTGTCCACTTTTATCTCTTCCAGAAACAAAGTGGCCGCCAGTATAAAGCAGAAAGTTCATACGGTATCTGTATCGCTCTTAGGGATTACAGAGACACTACCTCTCTGCCAATTTTCCCTGGCCTGCTTTAGGACTGAATATCCTGTTGGAAACAGCTGGTCCCGTACTGGCACATTCCCTTGCCTCATCCAAGTCTCCAGGACATACGCCAAGTAGGATCCTTGGGAATGGAGTCACATTTCAAAGAAGTAACACCAAGTTTTCCCATGGGCTGGTATTAACAAGGCATTAGAAGGCCCAGCTACTATTCTCCCCCTGTGATGGGGAAGCCCTAGATTGAGCTGCTAGTTTGCCAGTGTTAACTCTCTTTTTCTGCAGTTCTTGGGGCAATTCTCTTTTCCAGAAGACCAGTGTATCCCATCTCCATTTGGGGGGGGGCACTGGTAGATTTCCTTAGAGGAAGTTTCTTTACTTAAGTCTCAAGAAGCCCCTGTTTTGTTCAAGGTTTTGAGTTTTACATGCCACTTTTGGATAAATCCTGTATGTGTTAATTTTGTAAAATCCCCATGTATGAAACAATCTTAGAATAGTTGAGAAGATATGTAACTGGACAGGATAATGCATATATTTAAGCAGGTGAAGTAGACAGACTATCGCATTAAGAAGTAGAAAGATTTTCTAGCATAAGATCTGTGCTTCAAATTTTAATTTTTGTTTCAGTTTGGGGCATTCTCACGTTGTTAGTAACTTAGTTTCAGAATATTCAGCCCCATATAAGGCAAGCAGAAAGGCCTATTCTGTCCAACACAATTATTCTACAGATCCTTTTCTTCATATAACTTTAGCTGAATCAAAACGCTGCCATTATTATTTTAAGAATACAGGCATTGGTTATTTAGGTATATCGTTTTTCCTTCATGAGCATGCTATGATTTCTGAGTTGAGTTCCATCATATTCAGCTTACTATAAGACTTTCTCCTTAAAGAAATTGCCATGAAAGATGTCAGAAATCAGCCTTTGCCAACCTCATGCCTTCCAGATGTGTCAGGACAAGAATTTCAAGACAGTAAGACCATTGACAAGTTCAGAATTCTGGGAATTATAGGGTCAACACATTAGGAGGGTCCTAGATTGAGGAAGACTGCTTCAAGTAATTGCTGGAATGGTATTGCTAGAATTGTCAGCCTCCTATTCATTCTTTTTCTCTTTAAGATAGGGCAATTCCGAAAGCGGATGACTCTAGTCAACTTTCAAGCGCTGAAGTGGTCGCCTTTATATCCGAGTCTGCCAGTGCAGCAGCAGCAGCAGCTACAGTAATGACACCTTCGTGGTCAGTTTCTTCCAAGAGCACAAACGGGACTACCAATGCCATTTCTGAATCCGAAGAGGAGAAAGCCAAAAAATTACTGTATTGTTCATTATGCAAAGTGGCTGTGAATTCCTTATCTCAGTTAGAAGCACACAACACAGGTGAGTCCTTATCAGAAATAACTAAATGCATAACTGTATGTTTGAGAAAATTTAGGCAGTGTCTGTAACTCTTTGTCTTTCAGGTCATTTTTTTCTTGAAAAGGAAAGGATATTTTATTTAAAATATACTGTGGCAATTACTAGCTTCTTGCCTCTCGACGGCACAGAAAGCATAAATTCTGTTCTTTATTAAAGATCTTATTCATCTGGTTATACTATTACATGCTTAGTAAAGCTATTTTCCATGAATGTCCTTGTTGTCCAGATAAATGGTTTCTCCCAGCTCTGTATTTCACACCCTTATACTAGGAAGTGATGCTGCAAGACACATTTCAGCACTAAGATTTCAAGAGAACCTGTCGTGATCCACCTTATTAAAGCCCTTATTTGGTAGTTGATGAAAAGGCCTTCCCTGGTTTTCTACTTGCCAGCTTTAGCAGTAATCATTCCCTATTATGCATAATCTTGGCATCCCAATGTTTTCCCACATATTTCTCCATCACTTCAGCCAGGATGGCTACATTCACATAATCCAATAAGAGGAAATGCATTGCCAAATAGAGGACACTGTTTTGGCTAAAAGTTGTGCCTGCTAATTTCAATATCTAGAGGCAAGGTTAGAAATAATTTATGATGATAATTATGTGCCATAAGGTTGGTGTCAACTCTTTTCTCCAGTATTAGAAATAATTAGTATAACAAAAAATAAAAATGTGATACCCCTTGCTATAGTGTTGGGAGATACACAGAACTGCATGCCTGCTCTATTTGCTCCATTTACCTAGGATCAGGAACAAAAGTAATGCTGATACAAGAATCAACAAAGGAAGGAGGTTTTCACTTAGGGATGATTCCCAATTCTCCTTTCTTGGATTTTAGGAATTGTTCTACTTGATCCCGTTTTGTGGAGATTACCTTGATATTCATGGCCTCCCTTGTAAACTAGTGAAGTACATTTGCATGGTAATAACACTTTGTGTTACCACATGAATACAAGATAAAAGGGTAATCATATATTCATATGATATGTATGCATTCATAATCATATATTTAGATTCCTCTTTGTGTAATGTTTCGCAAAACAAATAGGTAGCTCAGGAAAGGCAGAGTTGCACTGTATAATTCTGTAAGCAATCCGTTTAGAGCTCTCTAAGAAGTTATTTGATCCTACCCCAGCATTCCAGTGAGAGAGGGGGAAGGGGGCAAATAGGGAGAAGGGGAGCACAGAAAGAGAGAATAGGGTTGCTCCTGCCCTATGCAACTTTTGCCCCAAGGCTGCTGATATATAGACCTTGACAGATGGGCCAAAGGAAGCATGACACTTGACCACCTTCTTGCCAGCCCAATTATCAGTGGGATTGCTTGTCTTGGTTAAAAAAAACCCAAGTATACGGGTTGTATTAAGATTCTGCTTGTGTTTTATTAATACACAGGAGCACATATGCAAATCAATTAAGTGTTTCAACTTTAATTAATCATACTGTGCATCAGTAGATGGCAGAGAGACATAAAAATGATTGAAGGAACTACACACTCCAGTTCTGGAATTAATTTTAGAAATTTTTAGCGTTAAAGAGAAACTGGGACTAGAATGCTAAACAGAGAATTCTTAAAGCAAGAAAGAAGCAATCAGATTGTTCCTATTCTACTTTTGTTTAATTCTATTTTTATATTAGATCTGTGTTTCATATCTTCTCAAGGCAGTGTACATAATACTTTTATTCTTACAACAAGCCTGTGAGGTAAATTGTTCTGAGACTTAGTGACTCAAAAGTTACTCAGTGGCTCAACATGGAAGAGACTATTGAACCATTGAATCTCTCCACTCTTAGTCCCACACCGTAGCCATTTACAGTGTACTGAATCTTAAAATGCTACGTCCATCACAAGAAGTAAAGTGAAAATGCTGAACAGTGTACACAAGCAGGCGTACCGTGAATGATTGATTTACTGCAGTTATAGCTAATTTTTCCTCTGAAAGCTCAACAGCAAAGAATTGGCAAGTAGAAAAAGATACCGGTCTTGTCCCTGCTGATTCACCTTTGCACTTGTTCATATTCAGGTTGTGAAGGTAACACAGGATATTGATCTCTATACTAGAAATTCACTTTTTGAAGACTTTCAGAAAAACTTATATTCTGATATAGCAATGATTTAAAAGATAAACGTGACAGTTCTTGCATCCCTGTGTGTGTGAGTATCTTGCATCCTAATTGGTGGGATGCAGGCAACAATGTGTTACTTGCAATGGAGTCTCTCGATTAGAGAACCTGGCTTGCCTAGAATAGTGCAAACATGCTTGGGGTAACATTAGGCCTTTGTTGTGCCTGTGGCACACTAACTGAAATATGTCAAAACTGACTGACAGATTTGGTACATTGACAGGTACAACAAAGACTAGTAACCTTGTCTACACATCTTTGGGCTGATCTACATGACTAGCTTGCCTAGCATAAGAAGGACGACTTCATTTCTAGTTGGTTTACATATGGGAGTCAAGCAGCTTAAGGCTGAAATGCAGAAATGCCCCCCATCTTACTAGAAAGCATTATGTCATTGTAGTGGGCCCATAGATATAGACTTCTTTGGCCTTAGTTCACCAAAGCCATGATGGATAGCAGAGGTCTATACCTGTGGACCCACATGGTGGCTACAATGGCATATAGAAGATTGCAACTTGGAATGATAACAGGAGTAAATTATAAAAAGTATGCATTAACAAAGAAATAGAAAAAAGAAAAATAGGTAGGTTTTGTGTGAAACTAAAAAAGAGGAAGGATTAATAAGATTGGAATGGAAGTGGTCTGATCTTGTGAAGTGGAGTTGATGAATGCATGCAGAAAAATGAATGTGTAACTTTAACTATGAATTGAACTACTAACTATGAACTAAAAAGTATGCCAAAAAGTATGAATTGGAGTTAGTATCATCAAGAAAGAAATAGAAAAAAGAAAAATAGGTAGGTTTTGTGTGAAACTAAAAAAGAGGAAGGATTAATAAGATTGGAATGGAAGTGGTCTGATCTTGTGAAGTGGAGTTGATGAATGCATGCAGAAAAATGAATGTGTAACTTTAACTATGAATTGAACTACTAACTATGAACTAAAAAGTATGCCAAAAAGTATGAATTGGAATTAGTATCATCAAGGTTCTTGTGAGTCCATATGAAAGAAGGAATCCATAGGTTAGAGATAGTTGCATGTTATGTTCCAGTGAATGGTAATAATAGAAGAACTAGGGATGAACTTAGGAAAAGAATTACTGTATGCAACATTCTGAATAAGTGTGATCTGGAGAGGAGAGTAATTCTGCTGGGTGACACAAATGGATATGTATAAACAAAATGAGAGAGTACATTAAAATGATTGGACTATTTGGAGATTCAAGGACAAATGAGAATGATGGCTGTTTCAAGAGTATCTCCTAGCAAAAGATCTGCTTGCTTCAAATACATGGTTTAAGCATAAGATTATTCCTATGTACAAGAAGCACAAAAATGCAGAGTAACTTGGATAGAAATAAAAAATTGTTTTGAATGTGGATGAAGACAGCTAATCAGAGTGAGTGGCATTAAAAATAAAAGTGATTAAATATTTAGGATAAAGCTAATGTGCAGGAATGCTGGAAGGAGAATTTTAGATATTTGTGTGGGAATGGTAGTGATATGTCAAAGAGAAAAATAAGAATGAATACCTCCATTTGTAGTGTTAGGGAATATGATTCATTATTTCTCATGTATGTGTAGAAGAACATGGAAATCAATGATCAAATCAAAAAGAAGTTGAATAATTCATTTCTTTGTACACTGCATGCACAATTATTAGGCAAGTTGTATTTTTGAGGATGAATTTCATTACTGAACAACTACAGTGCTCTCGGTCAATCCAAAATGTTAATAAACCTCAAATCTGAATTTTAAGAAAGTAAAAGTGAGGTTTTGGCTTTCTTAGGAGCATATCTATGTGTGCACAATTATTAGGCAAGTTGTATTTTTGAGGATGAATTTCATTACTGAACAACTACAGTGCTCTCGGTCAATCCAAAATGTTAATAAACCTCAAATCTGAATTTTAAGAAAGTAAAAGTGAGGTTTTGGCTTTCTTAGGAGCATATCTATGTGTGCACAATTATTGGGCAACTATTAGTGTGTAGAATTATTATGCAACTAAATGAAAAACAAAATTCCCCCATCTCACTTGTTCATTTTCATCTGTTAGAGTGAGAATAATGAACAAACAACTCAAAATTTACAAATAAACACTTCTGACATTTCAAACAAAAAAT